GGGAGGGGAACCTCAGCAAAGTAAACTGGAAATTATCTTTTTGGTCAGGGACAGTCTTGGATGCAGATGTCTGCGAAAAAGATGAGTTAAGCATAATCACAGAATGTTGGGGATTGGAAGGGACCTCGAAAGATCATCCAGTCCAATCCCCCTGCCAGAGCAGGAACCTAAATGAAATCATACAGGAAGGCATCCAGGTGGGTCTTGAATGTCTCCAGAGAAGGAGACTCCACACCCTCCCTGGGCAGCCTGTCCCAGGGCTCTGGCACCCTCACTGTAGAGAAGTTTTTTTCTCAAGTTTAAGCAGAACCTCCTGTGTTTCAGCTCACACCCATTGTCCCTTGTCCTACCATTGGGCATCACTGAGAAGAGCCTGGCTCCATCCTCCTGACACTCGCCCTTAACATCTTTATAAACATTAATGAGGTCACCCCTCAGTCTCCTCTTCTCCAAGCTAAAGAGCCCCAGCTCCCTCAGCCTTTCCTCAGCAGGGAGATGTTCCACTCCATCATCTTGGTGGCTCTGTGCTGGACTCTCTCCAGCAGTTCCCTGTCCTTCCTGAACTGTGGGGCCCAGAACTGGACACAATATTCCAGATGTGGCCTCACCAGAGCAGAGTAGAGGGGTTTCTTCCCATGCTTCCTTCTCTCCCTGAAGTGTACATGAAGCAAAGAAATACAAGGTGTCTGCTGAGGGCAGACTGTCTGAATAAGTAATATTTTTGCCGTTTGCTGATCATCATAGCACTGAGGACTTCCTTGATACCTGTGTCACTAAAGGCAGGCAGACCTAAATGGGCCTATTCACCTCTCTCCTGTAGAGGAGGTCAAGCCAGGAGTCTGAAGAGAACACAGCAGTCCTGTTTGCAGGGAACTTCAAACTGTGCTCAGGGAAATGTTTGGTGGATCCCAATGGTTGGTGTTCACAGCAATGACCTTGTGTGAGCAGCTGCTCAGCATCATTTTAAGTGGCATTACTTGAAACTGGACTGAAAGTCACGCTGATCATTGACATGATGCTCGCCCAGCTCTGCAGTGTGACAGCCACAGCTCAGGGCATCCATAACCAGCTGGGAGCAAGAGAGGACTCTGCACCCACAAAACCCCAGGCTTCATTCCTGGATTGTTTTTCATGATTAGTGATTTTTGGCTGATTCTCATGAGGTTGCCATGTTGGAAAAGCCTCTCTGTGTGACTGGAGGGCTCTGGGCTGCGATCAGCAGGCTGTTTCTGGCCATATGGCGTGTCCGGGTCTGAATGAATCATAGAATCACAGAATCGTAGTGGTTGTAAAAGACCTTTAAGATCATCGAGCCCAACCATAAACCAAACACTACCAATTCCACCTCTAAACAATGTCCCTGAGCACCTCGTCTACCTGTCTGTTAAATCCCTCCAGGGATGGGGCCTCCACCACTGCCCTGGGCAACCCCTTCCAATGCCTCAGAACCCTTGCAGCAAAGAAATTCTTCCTCCCATCCCATCTCAACTGCCCTGGCCACAACTGGAGCCCATTTCCTCTTGTCCTGGCCCTTGGGCCTTGGTTGAACAGACCCCCCCCCACCTCTCTCCACCCTCCTCCAAGGGACTTGCACAGAGCCCCAAGGTCTCCCCTCAGCCTCCTTTTCTCCAGGCTCAACACCCCCAGTTCCCTCAGCCACAAGGGAACTCAGCACACTTGTGCTCCAGACCCTTCCCCAGCTCCGTTCCCTTCTCTGGACACGCTCCAGCACCTCCATGTCCTTCTTGGACTCAGGGGCCCAAAACTGAAGAGCAATCAAGAGACCCACGGGGGTCAGTGCTGTTTAACATGGTCATTGATGACTTGGACAGTGGGACAGAGTGCACTCTCAGCAAGTTGGCAGCTGGCACAAAACTGGGAGGAGTAGTTGATAGACCAGAGGAGTTGTGCTGCTATTCAGAAGGACCTCAACAGGCTGAAGGAATGAGCCCACAGGAATCTGATAAAAGCTCAAGTGCAGGTGATCAAACATGGTCAGAGGTTGCTCAGGGCAGGTTGTGGAGATGCTCACAACCTGACTGGCTGTGGCCCTGAGACACCTGCTCTGGCTGAACCTCATTTGAGTAGGAGGTTGGACTAAATGATCTCCAAGAGATGCCTTCTAACCTCAGCCATTCTGTGATGCTGTAAATCAAAGCAGGGACCTAATCTTGGTATTGTGAGAGTAATTCAAAGTATTTCTTCTAAATGTCAGAAAACCTGAGAGGAGTGGTCTTCTAAGTTAGGCATAGAAACATAAAAACAGGCAGGGTGTTACCCTTCAGTATCCCTCATTAAAGTTAGATAAATTAAAATAAATACCTAAGAAGTCACTTGGGAATTACATAGTTCTCTGATGTAAAGGCTGGAGTTTCTGTCCATCATGGGAAGAGATCCAGTCAGCCTCCTTCTACAAGCCTGTCTTTCCCTCTACATGTTCTTTAACGCGAAACCTTATGTTTCCCATACAGTCAAGGAAGGATGCTTCTGAGAGACACCAGGCAGATGTCTTACCTGATTAAATTCAAGTGCCACAAAGGTGACATAGAATCATAGAATCATAGAATGGT